AACCCCTACATCCAGGTCATTGATGAAGATGTTAAAGAAGACCAGACCCATTATCGACCACTGGGGAACACCACTAGTTACAGGTCTCCAACTAGATTCTGTGCCACTGATCACAACCTTCTGAGCTCTGCCAGTCAACCAGTTCTCAATCCACTTCACTGTCCACTCATCTATCCCACAACTTCTAAGCTTTGCTACAAGAATGTTGTGGGAGACAGTATCAAAAGCCTTGCTGAAATCAAGGTAGACAACATCACTGCTTCCCCCTCATCTACCCAGCTGGTGATGACATCATAGAAGGCTACCAGATTGGTTAAGCATGATTTCCCCTTAGTGAAACCATGTTGACTACTTCTGATAACCTTCTTTTCTTCCAACTGCTTAGAGATGGTATCAAGGATGAACTGTTCCATCACCTTCCCAGGGATGGAGGTGAGGCTGACTGGCCTGTAGTTGCCTGGATCCTCCCTCTTGCCCTTTTGAAGACTGGAGTGACATTGGCTATCCTCCAGTCTTCAGGCACCTCTCCCATTGTCCAAGACCTTTCAAAGATGATAGAGAGCAGTTTAACAATCAGTTCCACCAGCTCCTTCAGCACTTGTGGGTGCATCCCATAGGGGCCCATCGATTTGTGTATATTGATTTTGTTTAGGCTATCTATGATCAGTTCTTCCTTAATCAAGGGGCAGGCTTCCTATAACAAAGTACAAGCCACACAGCCTTGTCGTTACCTGCTTATGAGAGTGGGCAAAACCAAGAGAATAAGGAATGGTAAAAGCCTTTTGCTGTGATTTTACATACAAAATTAAGATTAAAAGGACTGTACAGAGACAACTACAAAGGCCTATTTCATTTTGATACATTGGAATCAAAAGGAAATCAAAGTAATTAATATGATACTGCATATGGCAATTAATGGTACCTGCCTCATATAATCCTGTAAAGCTGTGAATCCTCAACCCTCCCTCATTTCCTCTGTGCTAAGTCAAGATGAACATAGACTTCAGAGAAGGTAAGAAAACAAGTTAGAATGCCTCACATTTAGATGAACAATAGCTACAAAAAATAAAAGTAACTGTCCTTTCTTTTAGACTAAGTGATTTAAATAACACCTCAGGAAAAGACCTACAAAATAGACTCCCTCACCGACTCACATTCTTAAGAAAAGACAAAGAGACAGCATGGGGGTTACAAACCAGAAAAGAGGGCTTAAAGTCCTCATTGTCTGTTCTCCAAGATCATCAGTTTGCACATCTTCTGTAATGATGTAAAAAAAAGATCTTTCCAGAAAAAGGTAATTGTACTTTCAAGGTTGGATTCCTTACACTGAGATCAAGTTTATATTATTCTGTTACATCTCCCACACATATAATTAACTATGCATCAGCCTGATCCTCTTCCACAATGACTTTCAAGACAGTTGGCCAGTTTAAGCCAAATTTGTTGTTCATGCAATTTCGTAAAAGTGAGACCACGGAGGCAAAAAACTTGCCATAGTATACCAGCTGAAGGACAACGCATGAGCTCAGCTCAGTTAACACTGCAGTTAATCAGTAAAATTTTGAAGTTCTATGATAAGCCAGTGTCTCAATAGAATATTTAAGTAACCACTCAAATCTACTGTCTGCATTATTTGGATAGACTTTCCTATGCAAAATTACTGTTAATTGAAAGATGAAAACATCTTTTTTCATTATCCCTTGATATACAATTAATTAATAACACTTCATTATTTTCAAATAACCCTATAAATTAATTAGAATACTACACATACAAAATTTCACAAGCTAAAAATATACAAAAATACATCTTACAGAGCTTTAATCATTTCTTCTTGCATCTTCTGCAGTGAATCAAGTAACAGAGGAAGTGTAGTATCATAATACTGGTGCTGATGTAACTGTGCTCCTTTCAGTGCCAACACATACTGATTATGCAACATATGAAGCTTCATCGTGGCTTTATCACACCGATCTTTGGCTTTCTCAGTCTCCTTTCCTAAAAGAAAATACAAAAAGAAAAATGTAAATGGTGATTTAAAAAATATAAACTTGTGGATGACAAATTTAGTAGGCTTATGGAAAGTTTGCACCTTTTTCTACAGTACTCTCTTCATCAAGGTACCTTCTCTGAAGAAGGTAAAATCTGACCATTTTCAGGTCATTAGTAAGACCAAATGTCTTGGTTTTCTAATTAAAAGACTAAGTAACAAAAAACTGCTGTATTTTCTTTGAGCAGAAATGTGAGAATTCTTTACTTAAAAGTATATGAAAACTGCTATCTACACAGGTATAAAAATATTATAACTATGAAGAATAAGGAGCAAAACTCATACAGATGACTATCACAAAGGCAATTTTTTATTGGCCTCAGAGAAAATAACTATTTTTCAATGAAGAAAGCAAGAGATGTCCTACTAGGTCAGATCCATGTTTCATTAAAAATCTGTCATTTATTGTGAGCAAAAATTCTATTGCTACATATCATCCCAATAAAGCAATGGTGCAGTCTACATATGAGTAGCTGAATTCCCCTACTATTACTCCTATCTAAAATGCGCAGCTTCTCTACTACAACTTAACATTTCCTTATCACTGTCAGTATCCTGATCACTAGGTTGGCTCTAGAATCTCAGCTCTAGACAATTACAGACCACAAGTCCTTAAATTCATGCTGACAGGACCAGACAAGTGCTGAACTTGAGAGCTATATGGCACTTCAAGAGCACCTATTTAATAGGTCACCTACTCTATTCTTCGACACAATAATTGCACAATTATGCCACATAGGTTTTTATGATTTTCCTAAGATCTCCAGTGACAGATAACTTTGCAACTTCTTAGTAACATCCAGGTTTAGTGCTGTGCCAGCTGAAAGCATGCCCCACCCCCCTGCCCCTCCACTCTCCCAATGTCAGTCTTTACTGCTTTAATTTAAACCCTTTCTTACTTCGTATGTGCCATGGGTGTGAAAAATAGATTCTACCATGCTCTGCAATCCTTCTTTTATATATCAGATTGCATACTCTCATCTTGTGCCCTATCTTTTAAACTTAAATCCACACAATAGCGTATGCAGTTCTTTCACCTCAAGGAGGACATATTTGAAATGAAAAAAATCAGAGAATGGCAACAAGCATTAGAAAGGTAGGAAATGCAAGGAATGAAGGAAAGACTAAAATGAGGACTCCCAATGCATCAGGAGACTGAGGAGCAACATGTGAGAGGGGACACACAGTTAACAGACCTTCCCAACCTCTTTCAACATAACAACCGTAAGACATTATATGGAAATAGTACATACTTTGTTAAAAACAAAAGACCTTCACCTAGCATGCAGATAAACTATGAAATCTGTTGGTCAAAATTATTGTGAGCATGAAAAACTTATGCAGTTTAATAGTGAATGGACATGTGTACTTAAAAAAAAATCCTAAATAGCTGCTAAGAATAAAGAGAGACAGCACTTCTGACTCAGGAACTCCCTAGGTAACAAATTACCGTGAAGATAGCCATCTACCTGTTTGTCCCCTCATACAGCTCTCTAGGCACCTGCCACCTCACCCCTGTCAGCTACTTTTTAAACACAGAGCAACAAAAATTACTATAAAAGGATATTAAGTCTGTCGTTTAATTGAAAACAATTTAACTGCTGCTCTAATCTTATAATTGGAAAGAACAGATTTTTTACACTACAGTTTAGCTAAATGAACAAAGTTACTCTGCACAACAAAGACAAAACATATCTCCAGAGCTGTCACCAGAGAAATATTTTTCATTTAGGTATGAATGAGAAAACCCACTTTAAAAATTTCTGTCAGACTGTTTTGTAGAGACGACCATCTTAACTCTCCCTAAAACAAGAGATAGTAGGTTATGTCTTTGGCAAAAAAATAGAACATAATGTTTCACGAGAAGACTGTAATTTTTTATTTCCCCAAAACAGGAAAACCTTGCACTATTTATTTCTAAATTAAATATATAAGATTTGGAGGAAAAAAAAAAAAATATCCAACACATCATGCGCAGAACAACATCCCAGAAGGTTACCTGCAGAGTGACATTTAAGACTCAAGTCAAGACTTGAGCTTCATGATAGCATAGGTTAAACTAATGACTGATGCTTACATCTACTGTTATTGTTTTTGTAACAGGAAGTTCCAGTTAAGCTGCTTTAGTTACTGCCCTTCAGCTAAACCTTATGGGCAAGTAAACACTCAAAAGAGAAAAATATTTTCTTAAAGAGCTATTATTTTCAAAGAGAAACAGCATACAGTTAAAATCTCAGGTTTCACTAACATGAAATACAAAGCTTTCCCCTCAAAATCAAAAGCTCAGACAGAAACCTTTTGGATTTAAAGAGTCAAAAGTTGAGAAGACACAGAAAGCTAAAAACCTGTCAATGTCTAAGCATGTATTCATACTGATATGTTCTCTCACATTTTCACATCTTAGTGTTTGCTCTTATCATAATTGCTTTTCGATCAATATCATAACTGCTTTTTGAGGAAGCATAACTGAAATACTAAATATTTTCTGAAAACAAAATAACTCTGTCAGAGTTAGGCACATTTTGGAACGTCTACAATTAGAAAGAATTTCTTGTCCGGTTTTCATAAATCTCAGAAAAACTCTGTCCGGAGTCCAACGTTATCGTATTTCAAGAAGGACTGCCCCTTGCCTCTAACTCCTGGAGACTTCAGTGATACCAACAGGTATGACCTTCAGCCACTCAGAAGTGACGACAAAGTGTTCATAAAAGATGCAACGGAAATCATTGTAAAAGCTTAGCTCACAATAGACAAATTAACATTCTGGATTTATAGCTCCTGGCACTGAAATATAACCTTTGGCTTCAATGAACAGCAAATGCTGTCCCATGAAGAAACACTAATGAAAGTAATGCCCATCTGACAAAGAAGAATACAATTTTACTACACAAGTCAATCTTTTGACAATGAATTTAATTTAGTTTTAAAAGCAGGCAGAGACAGACCTGACATGACACCAGAGAGTTATATACCCCCAACAGAAACACAGCAAGAAGCCTTAAATATGCTAGACCTGTGGAGACAGAAAAGCAGCAGAATTACAGGACAAACCAAATGAAAATTAGAAGGGCAATCCAAAGATCCACACATGAGTAACAGCAGGGAAGAAAAACTTTACACATAAATAAAACTACGACTTACAATCCCAGAGGAAATTAAGAAGACAAGAACATATGTCAAGAATTCACATAACTGCCTCTGTAGTTTAGAAGAAAAAGCAAAGAGACCCTAAATTTCTGAGTATGGTTAAATACAGGGAAAAACAGCAGAGGCAGTATTATAATAAATATGGGCATCAATGATACTGTCAGAGGAAACCTGGACAGTATCAAAAGTGACTACAGAGCTCTGGAGGCAGCTGTCAAGGACATGGGGACCCAGGCAGTGTCCTCCTCAATCATGTCACTGAGTGCAAAGGGTACGAAGAGGGCACTGACAATACAGGTCAGTAATGAGCTGCAGAGCTGGTGGTGAGAGGGTTTTGGGTTCTACAACCATGGGACTCTGTTTGCAGACCACCATCTGCTTAGGAGGTGGGCAGCACCTTATTTAGCAGAATACAACTATTTTTACCAATAGTATGGATGATCTCATTAGGAGGGCTTTAAATTGTGAACGACGGGATGGAGAGGGTAACCTGCAGTCCTGAGGAAGAAATGGAGAAGACAGCCAGGCAAAGGGAATGGAAGGGTGTGATAGGAGGGTGTTGACTCAACGTCAACAAAATGGGGCTTGGATGAGGTCACTTTCAGCACTTGCATATAGGCAAGTAGGTTCCCACAAGGCATCACTGTGTTAAAATTCTCCCAAATCCTTTCCAGGAAAAAAGCAAGCTGGAGTGCCATACTTAAATGCCTGTATACTACTGCAGGCAACATGGGGAATAAACATGGTAAGTCAGAGATCTGTGTGTAGCTGCAGGACTCCGATTCTTTTTGAGATCATGGAGGCTTGGTGGGATGGCTCCATGACTGGAGTGTTGCAAGGGAGCGATACAGGCCCTTGGGGAAAGACAGGCCAGGAAGGTGAGGAGAGGGAGCTTCTCTTTATGTAAGAGAGCACCTAGAGCATAGGGAGCTTTGCCTAGGGATGGAAGAGGAGCTGACAGAGAGCTTACAGGTTAGGATTAGATACAGGACTGGCAGGGTCTCAGGAAAAGCCAAGAAGCTTGACTTTTCCTGAGCTGTTCTAACTTTCTATATTATAACGTCACTAGAGGATCACAGCATTTGATTTCAGAAATTTGTTAAATGGGAAAAAAAGAGGGGACTATCAGGGTTTTTGTGGGTTTTTTTTTCTTTTTTCTTTTTTTTTAACGAAGCGGTAATGCTCCTCTGATGAAATACACAAATCTCCAGTGTATAGTAGCATTTCGTACAGAAAAAAACATTTCTTCCTTAGTCTGCTTTAGAATTTTTTATTTTTGTAAATATCTGCACTAAAGTATAAAGCTGCCAATGCACATAGTGATATATTAGACATTTCCCAATGTTTACAATAGCAATTTTTAAAATAATTTCACAGAACTGCACTTATCTTTTAATCTACATATTTTTCAGCATTTCCAATAATAGAGGCAATTTCGGAATATTTTACTGTCTCCACATTTGTTTATTAATAACAAACCTCCCATATAGTCACTTCCTCATTTATTTCAACTCTGGGGAGACACATTTTCGCAGAGTATTATTTCACTGTGTCTAGAAAATATTTCTATTATTTATTTGTATCATTCTACTGAACTCATTCTTAACACTCATGAATGTGATGACCATGGCTTTCAAATAGTTCTTCTTCAAATAACATTCTTTTTTAAGCAATAAAATACTTTTACATTGAATAATCGTAAAGCTTGACCTGAATCTGCTTCCACAGACTGATAAGTGGAGGAAATACCAGTGGGACCCCAGCACGACCTTTCTCTTCAATTAATTTTGGTGAGGACTAA